TATCGCGATACATATTGATATTGAATTATTGTCCAGCCCTACAAATATCTAAACTTCGTTTAAATCAAGATACATTTACTTAATCCAAAATGAAGATATTAAGTCTTGTTTAAAAACAAAACCTAAAACCATAAACGTATTACTTGAAATAAACTTACATTTAAAAATATAAAGACTTTATTTCAGCTAGTTGACGAGGCAAAACTTTCCAATTTATTTAGTTTTGCTTGTAAAATACTTAAACTGAAACTTTTTAAAACTGTTGACATTAATAAACAATGCTGACAAAAACTCACAACAAAATTATTAAATTAACTAAAATTTAAATATAAAAAATAAAACGATTCAAATGATGATAAACATTAAAATAAACTTGAATAAAAAAAAATATATATGTGTGTGTATATATAGAGAGACTTATTTTATTTCAACAGTTGACAAGCCAAAATTTCTAATTTTGCTTAACTTGTAGTAAAATAAACTGGAAAATATTAATAAAAACTATAGACATTAAATACCAAAATACCAAGACCAAAACTGCCAAAAACACAACGAAATTATTAAAATGAACTAAAATTAAAATGAAAAGAGGATATTAAAATAACAGCTAATTCAAAATGTTAACTATAATAATATCTTAAAATAACTTGATTTTCAAACCTTGAAGTGTTGCTAATTCAACTCTACATGTAGACATTTACATTTAAAGATCATTGATGTATTGTATCTTTACTCCTTAAATGTTCTATAATTGGTCTTAAAGTCTGAAATGTACCTTCATAAGCCCTGCTGTAAGTGCAGGCGTCATTGCTTTGAAATACCTGTCAATAAAGCTTCATTGCTGCTGGTTCTAGATGTTTTTAAGTGTAATTTGACTCTGTCTGGTCTCTGCTGGTGTTCAGTAATGCCGTTGCGGGAGAAAGCGCTCTGGACAGGATTGCATGTGGCCTCGGAGGAAAGATCGTCCTTCCCATGATCAAACAGCACATCATGCAGATGTTGCAGAACCGTGAGCAGATGCGTCAGGATCTATTATTGTGATTGCATTTATAGTAATGAGATTTTGTTCATAATGTTTCATTCCCCCTCAGCCGATTGGAAGTACAGGCACGCCGGTCTGATGGCGCTCTCTGCTATCGGCGAGGGCTGTCACCAACAGATGGAGGCCATTCTGAGCGAGATCGTCAGCTTTGTTTTGCTCTTCTGTCAGGATCCTGTAAGAACAATCACAGCACTTCATTTCTGATGCGTTTTAACGAGTACAGACGCTAAACCGAGCCTCATTCCGACCCCCTGCAGCACCCCAGGGTTCGTTACGCCGCCTGCAACGCTATTGGACAGATGGCCACAGACTTCGCCCCCACCTTCCAGAAGAAATTCCACGACAAGGTATCGCTGGGAGATGGTTTTTGTATTCATTTACTGAATTTGCTGAACTCGTGTATTGCTTGGGGAGGGAAATTGTGCAGCATAAATACATGTAACTGTATGACAGCTACTGTATTAA